CGAATTCTATAGCATGTATGTTAATTTAAAGAGTCGGACCGGGGATTTGGTAAATTCTCAGACGTTTCGTTAACATCGTGGGAGGAATCATCACTGAGACTTAATTTCTTAGCATCACAAATTGTCTTTTTTTTCTTTTTTAGCGCATCACTTTATAATGCTCATGCTAAGCAAGGGTTTAATTGGCTATACTTTTTCAAATTAAACATTACGCATTTATTTTAAATAAAATTTCTTTTAATTTAATGGCCACACGACTTATTAATTTTTATTTAATATTTTGTATTTTACGCCGCTGATTATGCTTGTATTTGCTTAAGTGATTATTCATAATTTTATGCTAAGAGTAGCTTCTCTTACTGACAATTCCGATTACGACGCACGCTGATACTTGTATACCTGACTTTCCTTTCAACTTTTCTTGGTTTGTTATTTTTTATTTTACGTTCGTTTTATAAATAAAGTTTCGAGACCGGTTATTATTTAGTCATAAGGTGATTTGAATTCTGGCTCTCTCTACAAACTAATTCTTCGTTTTTATGCTGTAATAAGAGGCCCGACGTTAGGTAACTTAAGATGATTGAGGGATTAATAATGGAATTATTCTACAATGATATGAGTCGGCCTCATGATGCCTTGACCTCCGAAAGATTTTTTTGTCCTTACATCAGTCACCTTAGTGGCTCAAATATTATTCGAAAATTGACTATGAGCTTCCTGGCCATTCATCTACATTTCGCTACATAGACCCCGGCTTCAGTGGGTCACAGGACAGATGTGAATTTTAAGGCAAGCCTTGTACAACGAAGGTTAGGGCAGTCGTTGATTATAAAGGCCATCAATAGTACGCCTCATCAACACCCTCGCTATTTAATGTGATTTTTCATACCCAAGGCTTGTCTTAAAGTCGTATCTGCCTTGCGAATCATGGCATTTGTGGCTGCACGGGGTAGAGGCAAAATTTGGCCCCTCTACGAGTTTAACCTATTTTTGAATTCCGATACGGCTGCGGATGAACCTGGAACTAGGCCAAAATAGTAAACCTGTCTGTATGGAAAAACATTTTTGGAGGCAAGGCTAAGTAAAAATAAATGGCATCGGGAGATCTACTCATTTAAATGCGGGATATCTCCACTTCCAGACTTTCAATCGCCTCAAGCGATCTTTCGATTAAGTTATCTCAGAAGAATTACCGAAAACTACTCGCATTCTCTCATGCCCTCACCAACCATGCCTTCTTAATTCTCGATACAGGTCAGCACAGTTCCTGTCTGCCTCGATTTAGTTTGATGCCCTTCATGCAATGTGTCCGCGATGGCACATGTCATCTGGGAGTTCGCGCTGACCGCTCATATTGGCTGGCTACTACGGACGAACTACCCATGATGCCTTTGGATGTGAGTAAAGTAAAGCATCGAATCGCGCGCTGCGCCATTTGTGAATCGCCTTCGCAGCCGTTTGCTTTCCACGCTCAAGCAAATCAGCTGGAGGAAGCCCAGTGCCCACAAGGCTGGAATGAACTGTGGCATGGATTTAGCTTTGTCATGGTAAGATTTACTGAGCTTTCACCATGGTTCTTACTTCGCATCTATCATGATATCTGTCATAATTATTGTCATCATTATTGCCATTATTCTGGAAGTCATTGTCACTGTGTTTACAGATAACAACACGAACAGACCAATGATAGCAAGAATAAAAATTCTATTCAATGCACGTTTCTTGTTATTCGTAAGGAAATATGAATATTATAGATTATGGCAAGATTACGAGGTAATCAATCATTAAATGCTTATAGAATAAAAAAATATAAAAAATTTTAGAAATGATTACGCTGATTTACACCTTATATTTTTCAGTAGAATTTCTAACAACACTTTTTATGTCCGTATCCTGAACGAAATGTTACTCCAGTTAGTTTCTACCGAATTACTATTCCAATACTTATTTTTAGCCGTTTCTAGTATGGCTGTTGCCATATCAGACACAGTAACCCTTAATAGTGAGGAGCTAATGAAAGAAAGACTTGGGTAATTACAAATCTCCCCCAGAGATGTTGACTAGAGAAGGAGCAGTCTAAAGAAAAAAGTATTGTGCGTTAGCGGGTTTACTTGGTAGGAAGAGTATATGGAGAGTAAGTGCCAAACCTATGTGTCTCACGAATAAGCTGTTGCTGATATATGCTAGATGACTAGCATTCTGCCTGTCCTGATTGCTGTGGGTTACTAATATTGATATGAATTATAAGCACAGGGGAACGCAGCTAAATGAATGGAAGCTAACTAATCCGTGTCTACAGCAAAAGTAGGTAAGGCTTTGGTGATTAATACTGAAATATGAGCAAAAGAATTCTTCTAAGACTCACAAATGCTACTGAGAATGACGTTTATAAGAGCAAGGATGTGGAGCCTACTCGTTTTTTATCTAAATTGCCGCTATACCATGTGCAGTACCCTATATATATGATGAGTAGATGGGCCCAACATCCTAATAATAGGTAAAGTAAATGAAATTTTCATAACAATGCTGGTAGTTCTGTGCCAAAATAACCAAAATAAAATTCTACTTGCCATCTGTAGTTTTGGCCCTATCAAAGTTTTTATTAACTATTTATTAATTCGCAATTAAATGCGACGTAATTAGTTCCTACGGGGTCAATGCTTTCCTGTAAGGCTTAGTCTTTTTTGGCATTCGGATCCATTCTCATCAGGCCAATCTAAGGGCATAGGTATATAAAAGTTCCAAGAATAATAATAGATTTTCATACTACAAGAAAATCAACAAAAGTTTGACGTTAACGGGTATCCCTTGAAGCCCAAATTCTCATATTTTTTTGCAATTTGTTTGTTACATATAAGTAATTAATTAAGCCTATATGTTTCATCAGTACATGACATTCCTCAAAGAAAAGATTTTACCAACTACATGAATACTCAAAAACTCAGGTACATTACTGTCGCGAAAACTATACTAATGTTAAGCAAAAATATTGCATGTGGAATAGACAAACGAGGCTATTTGATCGCTAAAGAAAAATATTTTCATTATAAAAAATTTTCAAATAAAGACGTGATTATGTC